AGTCACACCGATGTCTCTCCCTCCCAGCTATCCCAGCTCAAGTTCCTCCAGATTTAATAATCCTCTGATCGGAGCTCGATCCTCAGTTAACCCCACTGATTTTTAAGTTTAAGTTAGGGCTTCTGTGCAGGCCAGTCAGTAAAGTTGTTGTCAGTTTTCTGAAGGTAGTTTTTCACTATTAGAGAAATATGTTTTAGATCGTTGTCATTTTGGGAGACACAGCGATGATGCAAATCTGTTTTTGCTCTGACTGCTTCATGATACCAATCACTCCAGCTCCTGATACTTGGAAATGCTGTGATAACTTTGCATATCCATCTCCTGCTTTGTGAGAATCAACAACTCTTTTTCCTCAAGTCCAAACTGATGTTTGTTTTGATCGTTCGTGAAGTGACAGGTCAAATCCTTGCTGAACCTTTTATACTACATGTGCATTGGACGATTTCATTGTAACCACTGGGCAACTCCTGAAAAACAGCCCTACATCATAAACCTCCTGCAACAAGCTTTACACTTTGAAAGTCAGACAAGTATTCTTCTCCTGGCAACCGCCAAACTCAGATATGTCCATCAGAATAACCCAGGAGAAGTTACCCAACAGAACGTGTCTACATGGCCTACCACGTCACGTCTGAGTTGCTGTCCTTCACAATTGCTTCCACTTTGTTATTGGAATATTTAGTATGAAGGTAATTTGGTGACTGTACTTGTTGCACAGGTGGCAGCCTATAGCAATATCACGCTGGCTTTAACCCCTGACAGGGACTCATTTGTAGAAGCAGTTTGCATGTCTAGGTGCTTGATGTTTTACACCTGTGGCTATGGAAGTGATCGGAATACCTGGGTTCAGGGATTTGGATCGGTGAGTGAATACTTTTGGCAGTATAGTGTATTCTTGACTCTGCCCTGAGGCGTGTCTACTCAAGGTAGATGTGTTTCCTCAAAGCTTTCTAATTTACCAAGTCATTAAAAGGCTAGAGTCATCTGGAAAACAGAAATATTCAGTCTGCTGGCAACTTTATAGAAATGTTACCTGTTAATGTTAATGTAATCAGACTACAGAAACTTAAAACAACGACGGCGCAGGTTAACTTTGGTCTATTATTAAGTGTATCATGGATTTAGGGTCAGTTATGGACATTTACATTTACACCTGCAGTGTTAAATGGTAAAAGCAACAGTTGACACTGCTTAACTGGTGGCTTCATGAATGTTTCATTTTTCACAAACACAATTGTTTTTCTATCATAATATGCTCACAGCAAATCAAAGGAAGAAATGATCTTTGTGCTTCTACTTGTTAGAATTGTAATATATTAATATATCCTCCCCTTTGCTCCTCTTTCTCTCTCTTCGTCCCTCCAGTGGGACACTGCAGGCCAGGAGAGGTTTCGTACTATCACCTCCAGTTACTATCGTGGAGCCCATGGCATCATAGTTGTTTATGATGTGACCGACCAAGTGAGTGAGCATTTTTATGGAGTTATGGTCTATTTAATTAATAAATAAATATTTGCCAATACTTGCTACTTTTATCTGAAGAAGTGTTAACTATGTTCTCCTCAAGGTTTGGAGGAAGATTTGAACACTGTCATGTCCTGATTTTTGAAGATACTTTGTATTCATGTATAGAGACGGCTTTTTGTTCATATTCATTCTCATTGCACAGGAGTCCTATAACAATGTCAAGCAGTGGCTTCAGGAAATTGACCGATATGCCAGTGAAAATGTCAATAAACTTCTGGTGGGCAACAAGTGTGACTTGACGACTAAGAAAGTAGTGGACTACACAACTGCTAAGGTGGGGCTGCTTATGAATCAATCTCTCTCTCTCTCTCTCTCTCCCTCCCTCCCTCCCTCTCTCTCTCCCTCTCTCTCTCTCTCATTTTGAGTTCATGTTGTTGGACTGTTGTAAATCACTGTTACCCTGTTCTCTTAAAACCTCCCTCAAAAGCCTTCAGTTGATCAGAGTGAGGCACTGAGTAGTGTCGGGGGATCGTCTAAGGAGCTTAGAAAACGTCTTCAGTTCTTAAACCAAATGCTGGAGAGTCCCAGGTATTTAATCTCTAGTGGAAGATGGGATTAA